GAAGAAGAATAGAAGACAGGCTTTGCAAACCAAAGTCATAATGTGATTACAGCATGTACTATGAACGCAGAGTATCAAGGCTCTTGGCCTATGTTAGCCAAACCAATTACATTATTAAATGAACTATATTAGGAGCAAACTAATTCCTAACAATGGCATAAATCCAATCTGGATATGGATGGTATAATTGCCATTTTTGATTCGGAAAAGGCAGAAGTTTTCAGTAAGTTTTATTGGAAAGGAGCTGGATGATGTATTCATACCTAAGAATGATAAGAAAATATTTTCTATGCCATCAGCAACCAGAAGAAAGGGCACTTTGTGCCTGAAAGCTTGTCTAGCATACATCCCAACTACATGGTTGGTCTAATAAAAGATATTGCCAAAAAGTCCTTGTTTCTTGTGTATTTGGACCATCACAGCTATAGCACTTCAACCCTAACAGTGCCCAGGGTAGAAATGAAACAGCAAGTACCGAAGCTAAACATTTTTAAATTAGCAGCAGTTGATAACTTGCACCCAAGAGTATTAAAAGAATTTGCTGAGTTCTCTGGGCAACTGATGTTCGTTTATAATAAACATTGGAATATTAGAGAAATTTCAGAGGATTAGAAAAAAAGACATTCATGCTAGCATTTCAAAAGGGTATAATATGATTAATTAGACAGGGTGTCAGGTAAAATCATGGAAAGACTGAAATGAGACATGATCAGTAAAGGACTAAAGGCTGGTAGCATTATTAATGCAAGTCAGCATGGTTGTATGCAAAATATAACTTGTCAAACAAACTTGGGGCTTTTAGTGATACCATAATGAACTTCCATGTGACATTTGACTTAGTTGGGCATGGCACTCTGATAAAACAGCGTTAAATAAAATCAGTGTAGGCTATGTTGAATCGATTAAAAACTATTTATCTGATAGATCTTAAAAGGTATATTGTTCATGGGAAATAATCTTATGTGGGTGTTTCTAGCGGGATCCCAGATTATCCCAGTTGATAAAGAACTGAATTAAGAAGCCCCGTCTTTTTTGCTTATTGAAGAGGAGATGACTTTATTACAGTCTACAAACTCCTATCGTGGGATATATTTTTGATAGGAGAAGGCTTTTCAGCAGAAGAAGCATAAATGATAAAGTGGTGGAAGCTAAAAGCACGGATTCAGACTAGATAGAAATAAAACATTTTCAGTAGTGAGGAAAAAGAGACATTGGTATAATGTCTATAGGGACGAAGTGGATTTTCACATAACTGGAAGGCTTTAAATCAGGACTTGGATATCTTCTGAAAAGATGCTGTAGCTCAAACAAAAACTATAGGGTTGATGCAGGAATTACCATGGGATGTTCTGTGAGCTGTATTTTATAGGAGATCAGCCACTCTGACCTTGACATCTGTGAATCTGTCGCCCTACAGTTTACTTTGCCTGGAATACTATGAAGGATAAGAGAATAAATTCTCCTTTCGGATTTTCAGTCTTTTTGATAGCAGAACAGTTTAGATCTATTTGAACAAGGAAAGGTCTCAATATTATTAATTAAAATCCAGTTCTACATATTGGATTCTTTAGCAATAACATCAAATCCTGTGGTTTTAAAGCAGAGCTCTCCCATCATTAAACAGAAATTAAAATCATATCTTTAATTTCTGCATTAGCACAAATATACTTCCAAAAAATTGGTTCAGCATTGCCTGAATCTCAATCTTTCTGCTAAAATGGTTATTAATATTCTAAGCACCAGCAAAATGGTCATAAACTGGTGACTGTTTTGCATCTGTGGAGCAAACTAGCCAACTTCAGTAAGTGGAGAACTTGCTCAGTGTTGTACTGATTGTCAGTTTTCTGTATCCAAGACCTCCAGAGTGTAGCTGATTTTACGTCCATTGGACATCACTTGGATCCTATCGCTCATTTTTTCTAGTAAACCTTAAAAGAATGTTCCCAGTAAAATTAGCTTCCGTATGTGTAAGGATTTACATACTAGAGTTATACGGATAAATCACAATGAGCAAATTTGAGAAAAGGTGCTATTTTAATGCACATTTAACCAGTCCAGTTCTTACAGTTACTGAAAAATCATAGCTTTTCTTTTTCTTTAGCTCTGTGCTTGGTTAACTTTTCTTTTTTGTTACTGTGTTTTTTTAATCCTGAAACTCTTTTTATTTAAACTGTAAGCTTTTTAGGGAAGGCACTGTCTTGGCATTTGTACAGCACTTGGCACCGCGGAGTTCTGATCTTGCTTAGGTGCTAGTTTAGTACACGTAAATAAATGATGATCTCTCTCAAGTTTATTGGAAACCACC